CCCGGCCCCTCGGGCTGCCTATATACCCCCCAGGCCCCGCCCCCGCCACTACAGCTCCCGGCGTGCCCCGCGCCGCCCGCAACGCGGGGCCTCTCCGCAGCGGGCGGCGCCAGGCATGCCGGGAAGCGTAGTGCTGAGGGGAGGCCCGCCTCCGCGGCATGGTGGGAAAGGGCGGGGCATGCTGGCAGTTGTAGTCTGGGAGAGTCTATGTGAGCTGAGAGGGACAGGCTCATCCCCCCCACACACCCTGAATATTGGGCTAGAAACCCTCACAAAACAATCTCCTGGAGGAGACGTAAATAGTGGGAAGGAACGAGAACACAGCGTGGTAAAACATCACGAGTGGGAAGGAACAAAAACATCCATGGCATACCCTCACCGTCCCAGTTCTAGCAGGCCTGGCTCCCCAGACACAGCAGACATAAGAGCCATGCAACAGGAAGGATTTGAGAGGGTCACTAACATATACATATCGAAATACATTTTTTAAAGAAAAGCAAACAAAAAACAAAACTTTAATACATAGAAAGACAGAAAAGGCTCTCATGACCTGGCAATTCAATCTCAATTGCTAAGCATAGCACCTAAGAAAGCCAGTAAGAGACAGTAAACCCAACTCTTACTTCTCTTTTGCATAACAAGGGTGCACTTTTTACTTTGAATGCACCAAATTTAAATTTGATAGTTGCAAATGAAACACTCATCCAGCCTTAGCAAGGGAAATAATCATCCAGCCTTAGCTCATACAGCAAGATAAGTTGATGCTGAGAATGGACTACAAAAATACCAGCAGAAAATATCCACAGATCCATCCTAGCCAATGCAAACTCCCAGGGCCTGGGTACACACAAACCTCTAAGTGAGAGAGGATTAGAAAGAAGTTTCTCTCTGGATTTATTTAGTCGTTACCCAACACCTTCCCCTGAGATGCTTGGCACTGGTCACTCTCAAGAGGCAGGATACATGGACTGCAGGAGTGGCAAATCCCCTCTTCCTGTTCTACTTCCTAGTCTCTCTTCCTTCCTGCCCCCCGCAAGACTGGGACGGCTGTTCGTCCATCCCAGCTTATACTGCATGTTCTTGCAAGCCGGCAGAACAAAGCTCGTGGAACACACTGGTGCTCAGTTAGATTGAAGAAATCTGTCAAGAAACAAGTTGCTCCGATTACAATAAAACTTTCCCTACTTCCACTCCTAATCCTGCCAGTCTTTGTACTGCAATGGCCTACTGGGGCGCAGTATTTGCTCATACAAATCAGGTGTCAGCAATGTTAGTAATGTAGGTGTAATTTGTGGTCTCACCTGGACTCATTAAAGTCATCATTGAAAGAGGGACGCTCAAAATACTGATCAACTGTCCACTACCAGATGCATCCAATTGCATTGTTTTTACACCAGTAAAATACCGGTTGGCCTTGCTAAGAGACTGCCACTATTCTGAATACCTCAGGCACTTAGAAAGTGGGCTGCACACACAGCACGTCTTATTGACCCCAATG